GGGAGCGAGCTGCCTCCCGCTGCAGCATCGCAAGCAGGACCACAAAGAAGAGGCAGGAATCAACAGCGGCTCGTTACGTTTCTCTTCTTTTCTGTTTTATTTAACTTCTCAGAGACAGAGCAATTCTGCTTTTTTTTTTTTCAACAAAAAAAATAATAATCATGACATTGAAATAGGAGGACGTTTCTCCGTTAGCATAAAACCACTTAAAGGGTGGCTGTATGTCAATGGTAAATTACTTGACAGTGTCTCTTTAATGTAAAAAATAGAATAATGTCAGTATTGCAATGAATTTCAAGTTTTCTTGCACGTAGTCATCATAAAGTAGTTTTTGTCATGCTCTTGGACCTATTCTACAAGACATTTAAAAGCATATCATCAAGGAAAATATAAGGCATACTTCTTGGGAATTAGATATCTTGGCACATTTGAGCATACTGTCTTTTTTTAAAACAACACATATGGTCAAATATACCTTTCTTCTTCTAACATTAAACAGGGTTTTCTGTACTTTGTTTTAAATACTGAGATATTGGAGCCTTGGTAAAGAGCACCTCCGGGAAAAAAAAAATTTAAAAAAGCAAAAAAGCAAATCAAAACAAAAACAAAACCAGAAGCGAAATCCCACGAACCTTTACAGTCATTTTAGTCTTTCGTTATCATCATTCACCAAGTCCTAGAACATATATAACGTGCGTTAAAAGAAGAAAAAAAAAACAAAACCAAAACCAAAAACCAACGAAACACGCAGAAGAAACCCAAAACGAGACAAAAACTGACCACAAGTTCTCGGACACTGTTCACAAACTGCCAGCGGGCTGTTACAGGGCTGTACTGGTTTGACTGGAACCGCACAGCCCGTGCGCTTCTCAACTCAGCCGGATCCCGGGCAGGATCCGGGCGGCGTGGCTGAGGAAGACCACGGGGAGCCGCCGGCCTCGACAGCGATGCTGCCTGGAGCCGGGAGGGTACAGAAGGACACTTTGCCGTGCTCTCCTTGCCTCCTGCTACTTTTTGCTGGGAACACAACGCAGTAGCGTGCAACTACAAGTGCCGGACCGCGTCCGTCGGCAGCGCGACAACTTTTGGGAGGGCAGTGAACAGCAGGACCGAGACAACCAATCAAGTAGCAAAACCAAAGCAATTCATTTCCTAACTAACTACATCTAGCAGCATGGAGAACGCAGTCCCGCACACATCACAGTTGAAGTACAATAATCAATGGAACTGCCCATCCAGACCCTCCGATTCAAAAGCAGGTTATCAGACAAAAGTTTACATGCAATTGAGAACCATTTAAAATGTCACATTACGCACTCCGAAAGCTTATTTTACTACTGGGAAATAGGAAAGTGCACATTAAAGCAATTTTAAACATTTCCAGTGATTGTTTAAAAGAAACAGAAACACCTCGCTACTGGCATCTCATATTTAACTTTCTGTGAACACTAACAGAAAACTTCTTTAAAGGGAAATAACGCATGGTACAATGGAAACAGCTTGTTTTGACACTTACAGTACATCTCAAAAAAAAAAAAAAAGAAAGAAAAAGGGAATTATAATCTCAAATGGGAATAAAAAGACAGCAGGAAATAGAATTCTTTAAAACAAGGTTTTTTTCCACACCTCCCCCCCTTCCGAAACTCCATCCTTGACCATCAGTAAAGCAGCGCCGGCAGCTCCTGCTCATACAGGTGGTGCCTTCTGCGCGCAGCAGCTAGGTCTACCAGACGGCTAACTTTGCCACGAGTGTTAAAAACAATGATTGCATCCCAAAAAAACTTCCGAGTGGAACAAGATCCTAGTTTCTCTGAAACAGTGTCTACTGAATTCTGGCCAAGAAAAGAAAAGAAAGGAGAAGAAAAGAAAAGAAGAGTTTTCACTGTTTAAGGCATCTTTTTTTTTATAACGTTTTCTCTTCACTCATAATGATGATAGTCATGCAGCAGTTTAATGATAAAAATATATTAATATTTTACTATACAGCAGCAAGAAGTTAGTCAATTAAAAGCACACCAACTTTTTAAAAAGAAAAACAAACCAAAACAACAAAAACAACCTGTATAAGCCTATTCTTCTTCTTATTATTATTATCACAAACAATTTCAGTTTGGAGAACACACCTGGACAGATTAGTGTTCTGACAGATCTGCGTTTCCCTACCCTAGGCTTCAACCAGAGCACGCGAGCACGCACGCTGGCGAGGAGGCTGGGATGGGGAGGGAAGGGCACGGCTAGGCTCGCCAGGTATGTAGCCAGTAATAACTAGCACCGCAGCTACATGGAAATCCGTTACAGACACACACCAGCTTGGCTTTCACTTTTAAACAGAACTCCGAACCCCACGGCTCAGCAGGATTACTCTGCAATTGCGTCGCACTGATTTCTAACAGGCCTACAGAAGTTAACGGCACTGGCAGGGATCAAAGCATTGGTTCGGACCTCTCACAAGTTTAGGAGACAGTGCTAGTGCCAGTGGCGACACGGAAAGACTTGCTACCTGCTGTCCAAAAACAGGTTGACTGGAAACCGCTGCACGTCAGCTTATAGTACTTTAAGTACACAGAATAAAAAAAAATATATTATGAACAATACAAGTACATCTCATATACACAATAATGACAATACGCCTACTCAGCTGTAAACCAAACAGGTGCAGAAAAAAATATTACGGGAGGAAATTCTTTACTTTTTTTTTCTCTCTCTCTCTTTTTTTTTTTTTTTTTTTTATGTTAGTCTTCCAAATTTTCTCACCTGAATTGTGGAGAATTTGTATACCAGCTCCCTAAAATAGCAACATTGAGGCATCTGAGTGAGATAATTTTTCTTCATGTTCACAGAAGTTTCACTGACCATTTTTATATGTTTAAGGTCCAGATGCAATGCATATTGTATAAAAGAGAGCACTTATTGTTTACCTTGCATGAATTAAACCTACGTACCTTTTAACTCTACAAACTTCTGCATAACATTTAGACAAAGCTCAGACACACAGCATGCCTAGCCCTCATATATATATACACATCTCTAATCACAGGTATATAGGGTGTCAAATATAACTATAGTAACCTCCATGTAAGGTTCGAAATTTGGTAACAAAATGAGAAGAAAAAACTAAAAATATTATTTTACTTGTTCTAAAATATCTCTTTTTTTTTTTTGTGCTAAAGTCAAATGTTAGCTCAACATGAAAAGGACTTTTTTTTATATAATTCAGCAATATTATAATCTTGACCATTTTTGCAAACACTTTTAATAATAATAGCTTAAACGTGTACAAAAGTTCTTGGTTAATTAGGGAAATAAACACTCAGTTCTTTATATTTTTAATCAAGTAGGAAACACAGTTCATATATAATGTTATTACTTTTTTGACTCTTTTTTTTGTGTGTGTTTTGTTTTGTTTGTTTTTTTTTGTTTTGTTTTAGCAGCTGCTTACTGTTTGATACGGTGGGTAAAGTGGAGGAACATCCAG